ACCCCCCGCAGTATGTCCTGACCCCTATTACGTCCGTGTGGGTCTGGGGAGGGGGTATGTATGTGTATGATCAGGGCTGTGCGTGTGTACCCTTGTGCATCTGTGTGTGTATGGCTGGATCTATCTCTGCCCGCACCCCCCAGTGTGTGTGTGTGTGTGTGTGTGCGTGCAAGGCCAGGGCACTCCTTGAACCCCGTACACGTCTGTGCACTGTGCTTGGAGCTGGGGTTCACCCTGACCTCCCCATGTGTATGTGCCGTGCTTGGCTGTTGCCATTCCCCTGCTGTTACAGCACCCAGCCCTCTCTCCATGCCCACTGTTGGGTTTTTTTTGGGTTGGGATTGTGGTTTTTTTTGGCAGGTGTGCAGCAGGGCTGTCCAAGCCATGATCGAGGTGTTGGCCAAGCTGGGCCGTGGGCCCGTCTTCCTGGCAGGGGAGATGCTGGAGTGCGTGATCACTTTTACCAACCCATTATCGGCCTCATCTACCTCCGCCAGCAGGTATGGCAGGCCGCGCTGGGGGGGGCTCCTTCGGCGTGAAGCCTTGTGGTGGCAGAGCTGTCTGGGTCCTTCCAGAGGAAATGGCCCTTCCTCCCTCCAGAGCAGCTAGATGTAGTCATGGCTGGGTTGTGGGGCAATGGCGCCAGCTCAGCTACTGGTGACTTCCCTGCCCGAGGTACTCCCTTAAAGCACCTTAAAGGTGCTTTGCATCATCACTATTTCAGGGGTGCAACTGAGGTAATTATCCTGGTTTTCTGTCCCCAAGAAAGAGACTAGGAAAAAAGTATGCAGTTAGAGATGCTCTAACCTCCTCTCAGGTGAGCCCTTAGTGACAGGGTTACTGGCAGAAAATGAAGCCAAACTGGCTGTCGAAGCAGGATATCTGGTTACACCAGGGTGACAGCCTCACACGGCAACATCCAGACAGCGTCACTATTTCCTTCGTTTGTGGAAGGAGCTCTCTCTGTCTGGCAGTGTGCTGTGTGATCCCAGCCTCCAGAGCTGGCACGCAAAGGGGTGAGCACTGCCTGGAGTGAGGAAGAGGCAGCCTTCTGTGGCAGCAATTTCTGTGACCCAGCCTTTGAAGCGCTGCCTCTCCCCTTATCATTACTGTGCCCGAAACAGGTGTTGAGGAAATGTGAGAAGATAGGAGCTTCCTATATTGGCTCACAGGGGGTGACTCCACAGTATAAGAAGCCTCCATGTCCGCTGAGTGTGTGGCTTTGCCTAATTCTCCAGGGGGTGGAGAGTGCTTTCTCATCTTGAGCCCTTCCTGGCAAGTGTCTGTTTCCAGTCCTGTCAGGTTCAGCATCTTTTCATCATCAGTATGCGTTTCACACGTGATTGTTTTGGTGGACCCACTTCTAGTGTTTGCAGTCTCAGCAGCAGCAAAGCAGTCTCTTGTATTACCACTGCAGGGCGAGCCTGTTTATTGCCTTCCTTAACTTTCCATCTTTTCTTCCTGGTTCCTCTTGCCTGCTGAGTTCAGCTTTCAAATTCAGCTGAGGCATTAGCATCTAGTTTTCTGGAGTTTTGTCTTGTGCGGTGACAGTGCTGTTTTTCCCTGTTCTGAAACATGTGGGACTGCAAAGGTACCAGGTGGAGCGGTTTTGGAGGCTTGCAGCACAATTACGGGAGCTTCATTTGGGAACTTCACATGTGTTGTGGTCCGTAGTAAACCACCTCTTGGAAAAAAGGAAAGTTTTTAAAATAAAAAAGCAGGTGACCAAACGGATGAAACCTGATTAAGTTATACAAGTGGCAACATCAAATAGATTGGTGGTTTGGAAATTAAAGCTGTGGGTTGCGTAAAGGCAGGAGCCAGATCAAAGCACAGCCACTGCAGCAGGCAGATGGACCTCTGAGGAACTGGAAGCTTTTGGGGCTAGCAGGTGGAGGAACTGAACGGCGTGCATTTCAAGCATAGGGACAGAACTGAAGGACAGTAAGTAAAAGGCAGAAAGTGAATTTGTTTGTGGTGTATGAGGCGTACAAGAAACAAATCTCTTCTGCCCAAAGGCTGCGTTCACCATGGCCTTTGTGGGCCACAGTAGTTGTAGAGGGTGGTGAGAGAGGAAGGACGTGACCTCAGCACCAGTGCAGGATCCTTCTGCGCCCTGCCAGCTGGACAAGCCAGACCTGGTAGGAAGGCACATGCAAATTTTCTTTGGGTGTCTGGTTAATAAAAAAGAAAACAATCCAGTGGCATATTGCTGGGCAATACTGAGAATAAATGGAGGGAAAAAAAGATTCGAAATATGGTGTTTGAAGGCACTGTAATCATGCTAAGCTTATGTAAAATTAGTAAACATTGTCTCTTAAGCAAGAACATTTCTCTGTTTCCATATAGCAGATACCTCATGACAGAAAATCTTACGGCAGGCCTTATGGAAAAGCCATGCTGGTATTTTTGAAGATACAGAATTACAATTTGGGGGTTGGAGGTACCTGGGTAGAGTAAGCAATGCTTGTTTGGGTGAAGGCAGCCAGCACATACAAAAGATCAAATAGCACATTATTAGTCAGCTTAAATGAATGCAGCACGCCTTTTTCTCTGGTTGGTCTAGATGTTTAACTGCTCTGATGCGTCACGTCGAGAGATACCCATGTGCTACAAAAAATCCCTGTGCCGCCTAAAACTCTGGTGTCAGTGCTTACTAATCAGATCATGATCTTAGAAAACACCAGAGGAACTTGCTAAATTAACGAGACCGCTATTGAAATAAAAATAGATGAGTGTTTTGGAAACTGAAAGGTGTCAGTAATGCCACGGGAAATGCCCTGTGGAATGGCTGAGGTCATAGCAGAGCACAAACCATGAGACTGTTTTTCATGCTGGATGAAATTTTCTTGTGGCTGTACACAGAGGGGCCAAAATGACAGCTTCACCTCCCCTATAGCCATCAGCAAATCCCCTGTATCATCAGGACAAAATAGGTCTTTATGAAGGACCCAGAAGCATCCTCCTCTGGTCTGACACAACCAAAAGTTGATGTTCTCAAGTGGGAAGGTGCTGTGGGAAGGGAACACGTCTGTGCCCTGCCTGCCCTGAGGAGTGTCGAGCTTGGGGCAGCCAGGGGCTATGGGCAGGGGCAGCTGAACCCAGGCTGTGGATATTTGTTGCTGTTGAGTCTGCCCTCTTCCCTGGTGGTTGCATTATCACCGAAGGTGCCTCGAACTGCTGTTCTGCTTGTCACTTTGTGTTTGCTGTGATCAAGGCTCAAAAGCATAGACATAAATGTTGCTCTTCTTTGCTCACAGTGAGATGCTGGCGTGGGCCAGCGCCCAGATCCACTGCCAGTTTCATGCCAGCGAGAACCGTGTAGCACTCCCTCCCTCTGATGGCAGCAAGCACGACGTGCAGGCGGAGAATGAGACAGTCTTCGTCCCCAACAGAGGTGAGTGCTACTCCTGTAACCCTGGGTAGGGATGGTGAAGGCACAGCAAGCAGGAGTTAAGCAGACTTCGACGTGCATCTTGAGGGCAGCATGTGTAGAAGAGAGGAGGAGGTCTTTGTTGCTGTCGTGTGATTCCCTGGTGATGGCTGCTGCAAGACCTTGTTAACACCTAGATCAGAGTGGCGCTAGCTTGGAAGGAAATGTGAGGGTTGTCTGTCCAGCTGTTCTGGGAATGTCTCATGATCTGACCGGGGCATGAGATATTTCATGTTTGATGCCTTCTCCTCCCCATTCCTCCCCATGACACTAAGGCCTGGCCTGGGCACGGTGAGTCCCTTTCTCATCGGCCTAGACCTCAAGGCTGGGGAGCATTCACATGGTTCTTCTTCTCTTCCAGGAGAGCGGGGTCAGTGTATCCTGTCCACTCCACCAAAGATTCTCTTCTGTGACTTGCGACTGGATCCCGGGGAGTCAAAGTCCTGTGAGTCCTGTCTTCTCTTCCCCCGCTCAGAGAGCTCGCCTCTGGGGAGCCCCGCTCTCCAAGCTGGCTTTGCAGACCTGAGTCCTGCAAGTGGGAGACCCTGGTGCTTGTGGAAGGCGAGGTGCTTTGCTGGGAGCATGAGTGCTAAGGAACTGCTGCATCGTCCAGAGTCTGTTCTCCGCCGTATGAGGGCTGCGTACTGCAACATGTCCCTCCATTCTGCCCCTGGCCTGTGTCCTTTGCTGCAGGTCCGTTGTGTAGCTGCGAGGCATGAGAAGTTTTGGCTGCAGCTGAAGGAACGGTTACAGACCCCTGCATTTCCTTGCCTTTATTTCTTCAGCCACATGGGAGTATTCTTGGGTTTTAGGCTGGCGTCCTCCAAAGGTCCGTGCTTCCTCTTCAGGTTGTGGCTGACCTGGAGATCAGAGTCTTCTGCCTGTTCTAGTTTTCCTGCTGTAAAAGTGAGTGCTTATCATCATCCGCTCTCTGTGTCTCCACAGCCCTCAAAGGGCGTTCCAGTGGGTCCCCTTTAAACTCTCCTCCATCACTACTTTCCTTTGCTGTTTAGAGAAGTTTTCATCCTTCTCACAAGGAATTTGCAGGAACTAATTTTCATTGTTCCAGGCAGCTTCTTCTACCTGATTAGACAACTATGAAAATACAAGTATGTGCTGTTGTCTCTTGGTCAGTGGCTGCGTGACCCAGCCTGTCAGTTTGTGTCAGATCTCCTTTGGGTTCCAACAACCCATGGTCCAGCAGCAGCGTGATGTTAGGCATTGCAGGCTGCATGTGGGCAGATTCCTCAGGTTGTCCTAAGGGTCTGCTGGGAGTGGATGACTGAGACCTCTCAAGTCACAGAGCAAAGGGAGCAGAGAGGCAGTGCCTGTGGTGGAGGGGGTTCTGCTGGAGCATTGAGCTCTGGGGAGGTGAGAGCAGAGCTGCAAGTGAGACCAGGGAGCCACAGGGTGTGACATGCTGGCTTTGGAGCTGGGGTCTCCTGCCTTTTTAGGCTTACAGGGGCCTGACTGGAGGGAAAGGTGGACAGGGTGAAACCAATCTGGCTTGGCTAGGTGGTTAGTGGGGTGGGGCAGTGCTGTCTGGGGCTGTGTCTCCTAAACTGCAAAGCCTATGATCGGAGCACGTTTAGTTATTTACTTACTATTCTACAGCAGCAGGCAGGGGAAGGGAGCTGGCCCTGCTGTATCGGAGCCAAGGTCCCTCTGAAAGTGGCTATGCCAGGGAGGAGGAGGCAGAAATCTCAGCTGGCCTGAGACTCACCCGGATTCTCCTGAGTTCCTCTCTGCTGGCAGCTGCGGGGCTGGAGCATCTGTTCCCCGGAAGCAGGGGGAAGCCCCTTTTCTTGGAGCATCTCAGGCAGGCTCGGCAGTCTGTGGGAGAGCAGATCAGTGACTACAGTCCAGCCTCCAGGTGGCTGGGATGGATTGAGAGGATTTCCTCATGCGCTGGCTTCGCAGGCAGAAGCTGTTCAGCCCCCAGCTAAGTTAGTGATAGTCTGTCCTTCCCAGTGATGTTGTATTGTGTGTGTGTGTGTGTGTGTCCCCGCTCTGCCAACTGGGTGACACTGGCACAAGCAACCTGCATCTGCCCTGTGCTTGGTAGCAGCTCTGTAGGAAGGACACAAACTCTTCTACACTTTGAGGTTCCATGGCCTTTCTGTTACAGCCTTTCCCCTTGATTGTGTGATGCACATGCCCGTTGCATGTGTTGCGTGCGATGCTGCTCTGTGCATCACTGTGCTTTTTAGCACTGAAACCCTCGTATCGCAGCTCTGGCTCTGCCAGGCTGCTCACACCGATCCTGTCGGCATGCGGTGCTGCTCCTCTCACATGAGGCTGCAGCTGGCACGCTTGCAGATCATTCCTGGGGGCTCTTGCCAGCTCCGTGGAGGCAGAGTTAAGGCTGTGTGGGTGTGTATCTTAATTCTTCATTTCCTGTTTTTCAGAAGTTTTGAGTTTTGCTGCACAGTTTGGAAAGGCAATAAAAACCCCAAGAAATCTTAATTCTTCTTCAGCAAAGTACTAATATTAAACTGTAGCCAGAGCTGGCATATATAGCTGAGGTTGTGTCAGGCTGTTGATAAAAGGCTTTGTTTTCAGTTGCCGACCAGCTTATTCCCCAATATCTTCCCCTTGTTATGGTGCCTATATGTTGAAGTTGACTCACCTCCCATCCCTTTGACACACTGCCCAGACTGAGCTCTTTAAATTTGTCACCATAAAACATTTTCTCAAGCCCTTAAGTAATTTCTGTGGCTGTTTTTGCCTGTCCGGTTTTGTAATACCTTTAAATATTTGGTAGATCACAGGGAGGGGAGGAAATGGAAGCAGCCTGGACACGGGCCGGGAGCCCAGCCAGAGGGTACAGCGGGTGGGTAAGGAAGGCATCTGTAGCACCAGGAATGTGCTTCCTTCTGGGATATGCACGGAAGCTGGGACTTCCCGAGTCTCAGCATTCCTGTGCCAGGTAGCAAACTGCCCATCCTCCTTGGACGGCAGTGGTCTTGGCTCAGCTTATCCTCACTGGGCATGAAGTCCTTGTGAACACTTTTGTTAAGCCTGGTACAGGGAGTTACAGCAGTCTGCTTCCTTCCTTGGACATACCTGATTTTCCTCCCTGTCAGGACAGTTCTCAACTTTATCTGCACCCCAGTCCCACGGGGCAGCCTTGTGTTTTAAGGTGTGACAGCCTGTGGATGCTACACACTAGCATGGGCTTTTTTCTTCCTTGCAGTTCTGTTATTTTAAATTTAGATGTTATATTTAAAATGCAACCCTAGCTTTTAATCTAAGCCTCAGTGTTTAGGATGTGCCAGACATGGGGAAGGATCTGTGGTTTCACAGCAGAATGCTGCCCTTCCTCTGGCGGGGTGTATCTGCGTCACGGTGGGCAAGCCAGAGAGGTGGAGACTTGCCACAGTTCACTGTTTGTGCCTTTCTTATTATACAGCGTGTGGTTTGGGAAAGCTGCGGAAGTGTTCACGCTGCGTTGAGAAGCGTTGGGGTTTGTGTGGTGGCCAAGGGGCTTCGAGAGGGCTGAATGTGGTGTAAAGCCAGACCGTGGCATCTCAGAGGTCTCAGTCAGAGGCTTTGTGGTCTAAGTCATCAGTCCGTCAAGGGGGATATGCCACAGGTTGTTGTGAAGGTCTCTTAATTGTTTCTTGGCCATTCAGACCTGATGCTTCAGAGAAAAACACAGGAAGAAACTAATTTTTGTTGCTGAGTTTGGGGCTTGTGTAAAGCGAGTATCAAAAGAGGCATGAGGTATTGATCGGCACCTCTCTGCCGCATGAGGAAACCACAGCGTGTGACTGCATCTTGAAAGCGGCGTGCGAAGGAAGTGCGCAGAGGCAAATTCAGGTTGAACTCGTGATGAGTAAGTTTAGCTCTCATGTGTTTGTGTTCCTGGATTTTACATCTTTCACATTCTTTTGAGGCAGAGTTTGTGTGTGTGGTTGTACATGCTGGAAGCAATGTCTGGATGACGGCGCGTGTGATGTGAGGAGCAGTGCACTGGTGCAGGGAAGCCGGGGATGTGCTTGGCCTGCTGTGGGAAAGAGGAGATGGCAGAAAGCACCGGGCACTATCCCTAGCTCAGCCCTGCTGCTATTCCTAACCCTCAGTGCAGGGAGCCTGCGAGCGACAGCTCCAGGAGCTTCCTCTTGTCCTCGGAAAGCAATCTTTTCTGTGCTCCTTGCAGATTCGTACTGTGAAACGCTGCCCATAGATGGCCCTCCCTCTTTCCGAGGACAGTCAGTGAAGTATGTGTACAAGCTGACCATCGGCTGCCAGCGTGTCAACTCCCCGATCAAGCTCCTGCGCGTTCCCTTCCGTGTCCTCGTACTGCACGGTAAGGCCGTGTGCTGCCCTCCCTGCAGACACAGGCCTGGCTGCACCCTGCCCCACTGATCTCTCACCTTTTCCTCAGGACTAAAGGATTACCAGTTCCCACAGGATGAGGCCGTTGCACCCTCAAACCCCTTCCTGGAGGAGGAGGAGGGCTTGAAGAAAGACTCTCGTCTGGCAGACCTGGCAACAGAACTGCTCATGGTGGCCACCTCTCGACGCAGCCTGCGTAGGTCATATCCCCTGCTTGAACCTGCCGTCCTAACCTGGGCATGAAGCACAGCTCAGTGCTCACTGCAAAAATATCTCGCTGGCAAAGTGAAGCCCTGACTGGGTCTGCGGAGCAGCTCCGTCAGAGCCCGCTTGGGTCAGAGTTTCTTGTGGGCCCCCCCCTGCCAGTCTGAGCCTCTTCCTAATTAGGCCAGAGAGACCCTCTCCCCAGCGTAACGCATTCAGTGTGCTGTTTCCCCCTGCTCACTGCAGGCATTTCCCAAAGGGAATGCCGCCTCCAGGGCCTGTCCTTCGCACCCAAGCAGCAGGCATGGGCTCATGTCTGCTGGGCTCTGTGATTAACCCGGAGCGCTGTATGGAGCAGAGCCTCATCCTGCTGCAACCCTATCCCCACCTCTTCTTGCTCAACAGACCTGTATAACATCAGCAACACTCGTGGGAAGGTGGGGACGTTCTGCATCTTTAAGACCGTGTATAAGATCGGAGAGGATGTTATTGGGACCTTTAACTTCTCAGAAGGAGACATCCCGTGTCTGCAAGTCAGTGCTGGCTTTGGGGTCACTGTAGGGAGAGGCAGGGTTTTCAGGTGGGGGAGAGGGAGAAGGGATTGGGGTGGCACTGGGGCTGCTGTGGGTTCTCTGGTGGGACCCAGCTGGGGTCCCCTGGGGGTGTGAGGTGGGGATCTGAGCTCATTTGAGAGATGGAGGCCCCTGGGGCTTTGCGCCAGGGCTGTGTGAGGTTGTGAGAGTGAGCACCCTGCCCATTGCCCTGCAGTTCTCGGTGAGCCTGCAGACGGAGGAGAGCATCCAGGAGGAGTTCCAGCGCCGGCGGGGGCAGCCTGTCTCCTTCAGCACGCATGCCCGCCATCAGGAGGCCTGCCTGCACACAGCCCAGAGCAGCTTCAGCCTGCCCATCCCTCTCAGCTCCACCCCAGGATTCACCACCAACATTGGTTAGTGGCCACCTGGGATGGGACCCACCCCTGCTTGTCCCCACAGGAGGACTGCGATGTCCCCAGCCCTGCCCTTTCTCAGCAGGGCTGTGTCCTGTGGGAGGGAGCTGGCCGGTGTGAGTGGGCTTATTTGCATGTCCCCTTGCCAGGACAGCCAGCGCTGAGACAGCTGCTGTCCCTGTCCCTTGTGGCGTTGGCTGCTGACCCCCCTCTTGCCCACAGTGTCCCTGAAGTGGAGGCTGCACTTTGAGTTCGTGACCTCTGGGGAGTCAACGGACACTTGCCTGGTTCGTGGCAGCCAGTCGGAGGCCGTCACCTGGACTGGGGTGGAGCAGATTGAAGTGGACACTTTCAGCTGGGACTTGCCCATCAAAGTCCTTCCCACCAACCCCATCCTGGCTTCCTACGTATCTCAGTTCTCCAGCACAAACTCCATCACCATCTGAAGTGGGGAGAGCTGGTAGGGGTCTGCGGTGCTGCAGGCACGTGCTGTCGGTGGGAATGGCGGGCAGGACTCTCGCCGGCATGCTGCAGGGCACGGATCCCAATGTCCCTTTGGGTTCATCTGCAATGCCCAGGTGGGCACCAGGCAAGTCTGTCCTGCCTGGGTGGAGGAGTACTGTGCTGGCTGCAGTGTCTTGCGCTGCAGCCCTCAGCTGGGAGCCAGACCCATCTGCCTGGGTGAAGGCAAGAGTCCCAGCACTCGCCAAAAGGAAATCTGCCTCCCTGGGAATGGCCCAATGTACCTTGTACCCCATGAGGGGCTTCCAGGAGGAAAAGGCCTAGCCCAGGGGAAGGAGAGCAAGAGCTCTTCCAGTAAAGCCCCATACCAGCCTTGGGTGAAGGCTACCCCCCTACAGAGAGACCCCCTCAAGCAGACGTCTGGTGTCCAGATGAGGCATGGGGGCCGCCTGGGCTGGGTGGGAGCCTGCTCTCTCCTGGGACGTGTCCTGCCTCTTGTTGAGGGTTGTCTCATGCACACAGCCCAGCGTCCCCATTGGCCTCACCTGGAGGTCCTGCCAGCTAGCCCTGCACCGCCAGCACGTCCTGGTGTCCTGGATGTGGCCACATGCTGTGGCATGATCCAAAATTGAAGCACTGAGGGCCTGGGCTGTGGTCTGCCTGCGCTCCTGAGTGCAAAGGCATCCTGGTGGTGTCGGGATCCTTGGGGAGCTGGACTGAGTGTGTGCTGCACATTTAGGAGCTGGGATGGAGATCTCCCTGCTCAACAGCGAGCTCCCCGTTTCTACCAAACCTTTCAAAGAGTTTTTCTCTTTGCATGGAAATCTAATAAATATCTGAATGTGCAAAACTCGGTGTTCCCAAGAGCCTTATTCCTACACTGTTCCCAGTGGTGGACGCTGCCCACCTTGCCCAGCAGTCACAGGCCGAAGACCTCTTCTTTGTTTAATATCTTTATTGCAAGAACAGAAACATCTACACAAGGCTCTGCACAAACACAGCATGGCACCAGCTGGGGCAGGCTCTCAGGGCAGCTGGCTCCACCCTGGCACATGCGGATTGCTTCAGCTCCCAGAACCCTAGCAGGGCACGCAGCTCCCCTCCCTGGTCCCCTGCAGCTGGGGTGAGCCCCAAAAAATTGTAGTGGTTCTCCCTGCTCTGCCACCTGCCCCAGGCTGGCTCCGTTGCAGTGTTGCCCAGGACTGGCCCACAGTGCCGGGGACCCCCTCTGGCCCCAGGAGCTGCGGGAGCAGGGGCTTTAGTGGTTCCAGAGGTGGGTTGTGCCCCTCGCGCTCCAGGGCAGAGAAGGGGCTGGCTGGGGTGCGTGGGTACGGCACGAAAGGCCGTGGTGCTCCCCGTTGAGCTCCCAGCAGCTGCAGTGCAGGGTGATGGCGGTCTCCGAGGGAGGAGGGAGTACAAGACTGATTACCAATTTGGTCCTGTACCCTTTTCTTTAGTGGAGGTTTCCTGCCCACCTGGGAAGAGATCCCGTAGGATCCGCCTTCCCACAGTGTGCAGGTCATCTCATGGGAAGGGGGCCCCGGTTCAGTTCAGGAAGCTGAAGGTGGAAGCAAAGCCGTACTGTGGCAGCACTATGGTGTAAATGTTAACTCAGAACCATAGTGTGTGGATAGTGGTTTCCCTTGAAGGTGGCAGCAGTGACGTCTCTACAGGATGGGGCAGGTCTGGAGCATGCAGGAGGTGTGCTCTGGAGGAGGGAGGATGATGCCGGGGGGCGCGTGGGGTGCCGCTGAGCCTCTTATCTGCTCAGCCCCGTGCCCAGCACCTTGTTGCTCAGTGGCTCGGGGGTG